CAACTCTGGTGGAAAGAAGACGAGGGTGCAGGGCCACCTGCATGGCGGGTCTCTACTGAGTTGAGTTCATTAGTGGTTTTCCTCCAGGGGCGTCCGCCTGACACAGCAGATTTTGCTTTGAGAGCTGGACTTCCCCAGTGCCCTGTGGCAAGAGAGAAAATTCCAGTCCTTCTATCACTTGTACAACAAAGAAAGCCAGCTCTGTGCCCTCTGGAGACGCCTGAATCTCTGTGTCCTTTCCACTTCTGGGCCGCTCCCGGTACTGACAGCTCCTCCTTCCTTCATTTTCAGAATAATCCCTTTGGTGGGTGACTTCTCTCCCTTCTTGTCATTATCCTCTGTCCCCCAGTTTCCCCTATCCCCTCCCACCCAGCAGTGCTACAAATTGCTTAAAGCAACTTCAAAAGCAGCTTCAAAATGCCTGCCTTTGCTTTAAATGCTCAAAGTGGCCCCTTGCTTTCCTCACCCTACCAGCCCCCCAGCAGAACCCAAACACCCAATGTTTTCTTGTCATTGTTTGCCTTTTACTGGGTAACACCAGCTAACATCTGTTGAGTACTTGTGTTAATTCACTGATTTCTGACAGCAGCCATATGTGGTAGGGAGGTCAGTAAACCCCATTGCTCAGATGAGGAAACTGAGTCCTGGAAAGAGCCTCAGATGCAGGTCCCACACATGATGATGGTAGCGCTGGCAGGGCCCCTGGGCTCCCAGCCTGAGTCCTGAGCCGCAGTGCTGGTTCTGTGGTTGTTTCTCTGTGGAGTCTGTACCAGATTTTTAAAAATGTGCCAATCCTATCAGTCAGCATTTTCAATAGTTTTTTTTTTTGGAAGTATAGTTGATTTACAGTGTTGTGTTCATTTCAGGTGTATAGCAAAGTGATGCAGTTATATATATATATACACACACACACATATATATATTCAGTGATTTAGCGATTCAGTTATATATATATATATATTCCAGATTCTTTTCTATTAAAGTTTATTACAAGATATTGAATACAGTGCTATATAGTAAGAACTTGTTGGGCATCTGTTTTGCATATCATAGTGTATTTCTGTTAATCCCAAACTCCCAATTTATCCCTCCTGCCCCTTCCCCTTTGGTAACCATAAGTCTGTTTTCTTTGTAAGCCTGTTTCTATCTAGTAAAGTTCATGTTTATAAATTTTTTTAGATTCCACATATAAGTAGTATCATATGATATTTGTTTTTCTCTGCCTGACTGAACTTCAGTTATTATCCTCTATAGATCCAATCATGTTGATGCAATTAGCATTATTTAATTCTTTTTGATGACTGAGTAATATCCATTACACACACACACACACACACACATATATACACCATATATATGATGATGATGATGCTTAGTTGCTCAGTCATGTCCCACTCTTGCGACCCCATGGACTGTAGCCCGCCAGGCTCCTCTGTCCGTGGGATTCTTCAGGCAAGAATGCTGGAGTGGGTTGCTATGCCCTCCTCCAAGGGATCTTTCTGACACAGGAATAGAACCCAGGTCTCCTGCACTGTAGGTGGATTCTTTGCCATCTGCACCACCAGGGAAGCCTACACACACACACACACACACACACACACACGCCACATCTTTATCATTCATCTGTAAATGAACATTTAGGTGGCTTCCATGTCTTGCTATTTTAAATAGTGCTGCCATAAACATAGGGGTGCCTGGTGGTGGTGGTGGTTTAATTGCTCAGTCGTGTCTAACTCTTTGTGACCCAATGAACTGTAGCCCACCAGGCTCCTCTGCCCATGGGATTTTCCAGACAAAAATACTAAAGTGGGTTGCCATTTGGTTCTCCAGGTAGGGGTGCGTGCATCTTTTCTAATTAATAATTTGTGCTCAGTCATGTCCAGCCATTTATGATCCTGTGGACAGTAACCCGTCAGCCTATGTCCATGGAATTTTTCCAGGCAAGAATGCTGGGGTGGGTAGCCATTTCCTTCTCCAGGGAATCTTCCTGACCCAGGGACTGAACTCGTGGCTCTCATGTCTCCTGCATTGGCAGGCAGGTTCCTTACCACCAGCACCACCTGGGGTATTGCCGTCTTTTCTAATTAGAGTTTTCATATTTTCTGGTTATGTTCCCAGGAGTAGGACTGCTGGATCATATGGTGGTTCTATTTTTAGTGTTTTAAAGAACCTCATTACTTTTTTCCATAGTGGATGCACCAATTTACATTCCTACCAACAGTGTAGGAGGAGTTCCTTTTCTCCAGCCCCACCCCCTCCCCAGCATTTGTTACATTTTCAGTGGTTTTCATGGTCCCTCAAGGCTTTCCTCTGTGCAAGACAGACCACTGTGGAGACTCCAGTGCAGGGGCTCAGATCAAAATCATGCCAAAACCCCTGTTCTCACAGATCCACATGCCCCAGAGGATGAGGTAAAGGGGATCAAAGAATAGGATGTTTAACTTGCTCAAATACCTCTTTATAGATGTAACATTTAATCCTCAGTCAGGTATTTCTATATTAACTCCATTGTGTTTTTTGTATTGAAGTGAAATTCATATAACATAAAACTAGCCATGTGAAGGTGAGTGTTTCAGTGGCATTTGGTACATTCACAATGTTGTGCAACTGTCGATTAAAAAAAAAAACAACCCACACAACCTAAGAGTTTCGAGTTTTGGTTTATTCAAGGACCTTACTGAGGACCGGAAGACAGCCTTTCAGGTGGCTGTGAGCAACTGTCCTGAAGAGGTCAGGATATGCAAGAGTTTTTTTTCCCCCTGATAGCTCAGTTGGTAAAGAATCCAACTGCAATGCAGGAGAGCTGGGTTGGATCCCTGGGTTGGGAAGATCCCCTGGAGAAGGGAAAGGCTAAACACTCCAGTATTCTGTCCTGGAGAATTATGGGGTTGCAAAGAGTCGGACACGACTGAGCGACTTTCACTTTCACTTGCTGGAAAACAAAACAAAACAAGTAATGGAACATCAAACGATCACTGCTAACGACTGAAATCAGACATCTCAAGTTAGTGATTTTACAGCTTTTCTATGGATGGGAAGATGCAAGAGTCTGGGGTCATCGACATTATTCCTTTGATGTGCATGTTAACTGTCTAGGTTCAGGACCCTGTTTTCTTCATCTTGAATGTCCCACAAGGTGCCCACTGAGGTGACTGTAGTGGCTGATGGCTTGAGAGCTAGCATCACTTGTGTACCTGAATAGCAGGCAACATCCTTTGTTTACCGAAATGGCAGGCAGCACTTTTTTTTGTCCATGCAACCATCACCTTTCAGTTCAGTTCAGTGGCTCAGTCGCATCTGACTCTTTGCAACCCCATGGACTGCAGCACACCAGGCATCCCTGTCCATCACCAACTCCCAGAGCTTACTCAAACTCATGTCCATCCAGTCGGTGATGCCATCCAGCCATCTCATCCTCTGTCATCCCCTTCTCCTCCTGCCCTTAATCTTTCCCAGCATCAGGGTCTTTTCAAATGAGTCAGTTCTTCACATCAGGTGGCCAAAGGATTGGAGCTTCAGCTTCAGCATCAGTCCTTCCAATGAATATTCAGGACTGATTTCCTTTAGGATGGACTGGTTGGATCTCCTTGCAGTCCAAGGGACTCTCAAGAGTCTTCTCCAACACCACAGTTGAAAAGCATCAATTCTTCGGCACTCAACTTTCTTTATGGTCCAACTCTCACGTCCATACATGACTACTGGAAAAACCATAGCTTTGACTAGATGGACCTTTAGTTCCAAAACATTTTCATCACCCCCAAAAGAAAGCTCCATACTTACATTAAGCAATTTTTTCACTATTCCTTGCTCCCCCAGCTCCTGGCAACCCCACTAACTACTTTCTGTCTCTAGATTAGTCTATTCTGGACATAAAGAGAATTGTCTAGTAGGTGGCCTTTCATATCTGTCTTTCAGTTAGCATAATGTTCCGAGGCTCATCCACGTTGTAGGGTGTATCAATTTGTTGTTGTTCAGTCACTAAGTCATGTCTGACTCCGCGACCCCATGGACTTCAGCACGCCAGGCTTCCCTGTCCTTCATTGTCTCCTGGAGTTTGCTCAGATACATGTCCATTGAGTCGGTGATGCTATCTAACCATCTCATCTCCTGCCACCCTCTTCTCCTTTGTCATCAATACTTCATTCCCTTTTTTTTTTTTGTGGCAGAATACTATTTCATTGTATGGAGAGTCCTCCACATTTTGCTTCTGTTCATCCATCATTGGATACTTGAGTTGTTTTCACCTTTTGTCGATTGTGACTAATACTGCAATAAACATTCCTGTACAAGCATCGATTTTGAGTACCTGCTTTGAATTCTTCCCAGTATATACCTAGGACTGGAATAGCTGGGTCAAATGGTATTTCTCTACCTAAGTTTCTGAGGAACCCATGAGCACCATTTTAAAAGCAAGGAATCTGAGGCTTAAAGAAATTGAGTGGTTTGAGGTTACATGACCAGTAAATAACACAACCAACACTAGGACTGTGGTCATTCTAAGGATCAAGACTGCAGGGAAAATCCTTCATTCACTCACCATACATCCATTGAGGGCCACGGCAGGCCTCTGCGGCAGATTTACCAGTTAAATCTCAGAAAGGAGCTCCCTCATGCCAGAAACTTCAGGAGAAAACAAAACAAGGGGAGTTTTAAAATAATAAATCAACACAAGGGGCTCATGCATAAACCCCGTTACTCGCAGACAATCTAGCTGAGCATAGCGATGGTCTCTTCGGTCTTGCTGCCCGTTTGAACATCAGTGTGGGGGCAGCTCATGCCGATTTTTCAAGGCGCAGAAAAGAGTCACTCTCCCTATTTCTGTCTCACTGTCTGCATGTCTCGACTGACCCCGGGGGAGGAGGGGAGGTGGGGTGTGCGCGGGTCCTGGTTTGGTTCTGAAGTTCTGATCTGGATGGGGTGTCTGCGAAAGTCACTGCCCAAGGAGAATCTCTGGAAGGTTCTGCGGCTCAAAGGGTTAAATGCCAGACCGAGACGGAGACTCAAAAGAGGGGCGGGGCGGGAGGGGGGCTGGGGCGAGGGGTGGGAGAGGCGGCGGGACTCGGGCTTCTGGAGTCTTCTTTTCCAGTGGTTCCGAGGGGAATGTTACTTGAAAGAGGTAAATTCTGATCGCTGCCCTCGACCGTTCCCAGCTCCCTGGAGCATTTTCTGTGCGGAAAGGTGACATCCAAACGCCGGAGCTTAGCTGGGTTTGAAAACAAGACGCGGGCGCCGCTGGGATCGTACCCTCCCCTCGTCCCCCGCTCCCTGGCCCCGCTGACCTGATTAATCAAGAGCCCTGCCAAACCCACTGAGGAGGGCTCCCAGGCTAATCTAATCTGCGTCCCCCAACGGGGACAGACATCCCCGCTCGGCCAATGAGACGCGACAGTGCAAGCTGGGCTGCGCGGTGGAAAATTCCATGCCCCGGCCCGGGGAGGCTGCGGCGGCCTCTGGCGGCGGCGCGCGCCCCGCATCCTGCAGCCCTGGGCTCTCCGCGTTCCCGCTGCTGCGGGAACCCCCCAAAGCTGCCCCGTTTCGGGGCGCTGTCACACGAGTCCCAGGGCAGGCGGCGTTGTTATAATTTTCTGGTTCTCCGCAGCTTTGCGAAAGATGCTTTCAGCTAATCCAAGAAAAGGCTGGCGATGCCTGAATCATCGCGGGGAGCGGAAGGAGGGGGCTATGATGGCATCTCCCGCTCATACGGGTGTGTGTGTGTGAAATATAAACCATACGGGGTGTGTGTGTGTGTGTGTGTGTGAAATATAAACCAGTGCCCCCACCCCTCGCCCACCCAAGCAGCAAGTCCGGTGCGCAATTGTCCCGCCACCCCCAAGTGCCTCCGCTGGGCTTTGCAACCCGATAACTGTGCGGAGAACGGATGAGCTGGGGGCCCCCTTTCTATCCACCCGCGAACTGAACTGCGGGCGCCCTTTTAGAAGGGGCCGGTGGGTCCTAGAGAGCGAAAGGAGTCAGCAAAGGTGTGTATTTCCTGAAGGTGAGGAGACCCAGGACAGGAGGACCAGTGCGGTGATCCAGAGATAATTGCAGGGCCACAAAGGGGGGACATCTTGGTCTGCCTTTGCGGGGGGAAAGGGGGATGCGGATCGGAGCTGGAAGGACAGAAGTTGCCAGAAAGAGCAGGGGAGGCGCCGGCAGCCTGTGTTCCAGCCCCTGGAGCGAGGCTGCTGGGCAAAGCGTTTCCATGAAGCTGGGCTGTGTTACGAGATCCCTATCTTCCTTAACCCCACGTGAATTACTGCCATAAATCCCCATGATTTCATGGGATCCAGGCCTGTTTCTGCTCCTCGCAGTATAAAAGAACCTAGTGAACAGAGTCCAAAAATTAGAGTGCAGCCTTGCCCAGGAGAACCTCTGCCAAAAGACAGTCACAAAGGCTTTAGGATTGGAGGGGGGCCGGGAGGGCAAGGGGACAATGGGCCTTGAGATCTGGGAGGGGGAAAACAGAAGGAAAGGAGAAAATACAGGTGTTTCTTCTTAAAGGAGAATGTGAAGCTTGAGGAATAACCCGCAGAAGAGAAAAATAAGAAAGGGCCATGCCCGGTCCTGATAAGATGACTTGAGCTAAGCTTCAGGAGACAGGAGACCAGAAAGCCGGCCACCCCAGTTCAGCGAGTGCCCCGCTGAAGGTCCTGGAGAATCTCCCAACTTCCCTGAATCTTAGTTTTTATCTCTGCAAAATCCAGATAATTCCTGAGACTAAAAGAAAGTGAAATTATGTCTATAAAGCTGTCAAGAAATCTATGCAAGTGTTGTTGTTTCTTTTAGTCCACATACATGAACAATCTCTGTTAATTTAGTTGAATTAACTTTGACCTTTTCAAACTGTGGTGCTGGAGAACACTTTTGAGAGTCCCTTGGACTGCAAGGACATCAAACCAGTCAATCCTAAAAGGAAATCAACTCTGAATATTCATTAGAAGGACTGATGCTGAAGCTGAAGCTCCAATCCTTCGGCCGCCTGATGTGAAGAACTGACTCACTGGAAAAGACCCTGATGCTCGGAAAGATTGAAGACGGGAGGAGGAGATGACAGAGGATGAGATGGTTGGATGGCATCACTGACCCAATGGACAAGAGGAACTCCAGGAGATAGTGAAGGACAGGGAAGCCTGGTGTGCTGCAATCCATGGGGTCACAAAGAGTTGGACATGACTGAGCAACCGAACAACAAAACTTTGATGGAGAGTCATGGCTAATCAATCAATCAATACTTGTATTAATGTAGTCAGTAAATATTTACTGAATACCTACTATGTGCTGGGGCGTACAGCAGTGAAGAAAACACAACAGTGCCTGCTCTTGGGACACTCCCAGTGTGATGGGGGAGACAAATGATAAATAAGAAAACAAAGGAGTGTTTTCAGTGGTGATTAGTGATATGTAGAAAACTAAAGCACATACGTGGGATAGGAGGAGTGATTTCGAAGGGAGTGAGGAGGTAGGACCTCACTGAGAAGCTGGTCTTTCAGCAGAGCCCTGACAGGGAGGTGAGGGAGTAAGCTCTTTGGATTTCTGGAGGAAGAACATTCTAGGCATTTTAGGTGCGGGGTGGGGAGGTTGCCAGAGGTTTCAAAGGGCCTGAGGTGGGACTGTGGTCCTCCGAGTTGGAGGAACAGGCACTGTACCTAGAGGGGACTGAGCGATGGGGCTGAAGTCAGGGACCAGCTGGGCGGAGGTAAGGAGCCCGGATTGTTTGGAAAGGCTGGAGGGCTTTCACCATGAAAATTCTGAGCATTCATTGGACAGCACAGCTGAGGAGCCACCTTGGATCTTAACTGACTGCAATGCAGCTTTCTTTCTAATTTGGATACTGAAAAGCCACCTACATGTGAAGTGAAAGTCGCTCAGTCGTGTCTAACTCTTTGCAACCCCATGAACCATGGAATTCTCCAGGCCAGAACACTGGAGTGGTAGCCTTTCTCTTCTCCAGAGCATCATCGCAGCCCAGGGATCAAACCCAGGTCTCCCGCATTGCAGGTGGATTCTTTACCAGCTGAGCCACAAGGGAAGCCCCCCCCCAAAAAAAAAGTCCACCTGCAAGCATTTATCAGAAGCTTTGCTGTGTTTGATAATGTGCTGGGGACTCTGGAGAACAGGAGGAAGTAGAACACTGAGGCATGCTTTAAAGAGGCCACAGTCCTGTAGAGAATCTGGTTTAGCTGCAAAAAAGTAGTAAATGACCAATACAAAACAGTTCCTCATACTCGCTAAATTGTAGGGAGGGTCCCCCAAGCAGGAGGAAACTGGGAGCTTTGGGAACCCCAGGGGCCCCCTGGGATTGTGCTGAGATCTTCGTAGGTGGCCAGTGATGATTTGTGGACAGAGGGAGCGCCTGAAGTCGATAGTCAGAGAGGTCTCCTCTCCCTGGCCTGGAGCTCCTCATGGGTAGGTCAGAGTTGTCAGCCCACAGTCTGAGCTGCTCTGACCGGACGAGGAGGGTGATCAGGGTTGGAGACGTTGGATGAGCCCAGTTCAGAAAAGCCCACAATGCTTTCCCACCTTCAGAACTCTTTGCAGACCTGGCCATCTGTGTTCCTACCCTCTTCCTTGGGGATCAGGGGCTCCACTCTGAAATCACAGGATTCATCACTGCAGGGTGCCCCAGCCCTGGGCTTCCAGCTCTAGCATCACCCTTGACCTCCCTGGGCAGGCCTGAACAAGTCCTATAACCTTCAGAGAATCAGCTACACCCACCGGCGCTGGCTCTGTGAAACCAAGACAACCAGGCATGCTGGGCTGGAGCCCGGCCGCTCTGGGGGCGAGAGGAAGAGAGGGGCCATTGTCCTCAGCTGCCTCCTCCTAGCAAAGTGGTTTATTTATTTAACGTTTTGAATAAGTAGTATAACATATGGTTCAGGAAATCAACAATTATACAACATTGCACAGTGGAAAGCGTACTTTCCCATCTGCTCAGTTCTTATCTCTCCCCCCACAAAAGGTAGCCGCTGCTATTAATTTGTTGTTTATCTTTCTAGAGATTCTCCTCCTCCTCCCCTTCCTCCCTCCCTTTCTCCCCCTCCTTGCTTCCTTCTGCACAGACAAGCAAATTGAATACACAGTCTTCCCCCAACTCCCAACTCCCCCTGGCCTCTTTAAAGTAGTAGTTCACGATCCAGCGTTCTGTACCTCATTTTTCTCAGGTAGCATGTCTTAGACCTTCTTCATGATGGTCCAGGATGGCAAAATGTCATCATTGCTCTTTACTAACTCTTACAAATCCAAAATGTGCAAAGATCCCCTCTAGATGGACGTTTAAGTTGTTGCAGTCTTTTGCTTTTAGACAGTGTTGTCACGAATAACTTGGAAGTTCTTCATGGAGTACATGATCATGTTTATGCAGAAGGTAAACTCCTAAAAGTGAAATTTTTGCTGTGTCAAAGGGTAAATGCATCTCTAATATGGACAGATGTTGCCAAATTACTCTCTGCAGGGGCTATGACAATTTCTGCTTCTAGTAGCAATGTAGGAGAGAGAAGACCTGTGTTGCTTGGCCCACCAACAGAGTTTTGTCGTCAGATTTTTGCCATTTCTGATAAATTTTTAAAAATCAATGTGGTTTTAATTTGTATATTTCTTATGATTGACGTTGAGTATATTTTCATATGTTTAAAAACCAAATATGTGTCCTGTAAAGTGTCCATACCCATGCTTATCCTTATATTGTTTTTTGGTCTTTTGTCTCATCAATTTGCAGGAGCTCTTTATATAGTATAGGGGAAATTAACTCTTTGTGGTATGAATTACCTACATCTCTCATTTTGTGTTTGCTTTGGGCATTTTAAAAAATTAGTTTTGTTCCTGCAATGCAGAAAATTTTGATTTCCTTGTAGTCGAAATTGTCAACCATTTATGTTGTGACTTCTAGATGTTGCCTTTTCATACTAAAAGCAAGACTTCCTGCATCTCCCATTTTGGCTTTAGTGTTCTTATGTTTTACTTTTTATGTTTAAAACTTTGATACAAAGTTTATTCAAAGCTTTGCTACAAAACTGGAATTTGTTCTATTGTTGATGTGCAGTCTGTCTAAAAAATGTTTGTTATCAACACAACTTTTTGAATAGTCCATCTTTTCCCCATGTATTTGAGATGCCTGCATTATCTTAAACATTTCCGTATGTATTTGGGTATTTTCCAGGATTTTCAATTCTGTGCCATCTGTTGGTCTGACGAAATCATATTCTACTATTACAAAGTTTTAGTTATTGAAGACTTTAAGTATATTTTAACATGTGGTATAGCTATTCCTTCTTCTTTTCTTTATCAGAATTATCCACGCTATTGATTATTTTTCCATGTGAAAGTTAGAATCATTTTGTTTAGATAAAAATTGCTTTTTGTATTTTTATTGGGATGGTGCTTATTAGTTAACATTTATGTATGTGCTCAGTCACTCAGGCATGTCCGACTCTTTGAGACATCCTGGACTGTAGCCTGCCAGGCTCCTCTGTCCATA